TCATAATGATAATAACCTTGGTTTTACCGTTATGCGGACGTTGATGGCATGAGCCATTGTTGTTGCGAATTTAATAAAAAAAAAAAAAAAGCATCGCTTATAACAGTTATAATTTATAATAATAGTAATAATATAATAAAAAGGGCACAGAGTGGCCGAGCTTATTACGGCAACGAATGCGACGCGCACCGTCACTAGTTCGAATTTCGGTCATGGGAGGCACTCCTCACATCTGTCTAGAAGGAGAGACTGCCATCCCCCAACCAGGCATGGCAAAAACCTACAGGTGCTCAATTAGAAATGTTTTCAAACTAAGACACACGTGATTAAAAAAAAACCTACAGTACCCTGCCCCACGGTTAAAATCCACCCAATGGCCTAATTTAAATCGGGTTAATTAATAAAAAAAATATAATAATAATAACTACTATAATGAATACCTAGTTAGTAGCTTACCTTTACTGATCTGTCCTAAACTTACATCCAGTGTTGAGTGATATCTAGATTTGAATTAATACCATCAACTTCTTATATAGATAACTAAATAAACTATTTTCTAATATGTATCGAAGATTTAAATTATGGAAATCTACATAAATATCTAAATGTTTTTATGCCTATATAGGTGTATAAATATTCTTAATATTTTGAACATTTTATTTTGCATACAAATATTACAAGTATAAATATTCAGTAACACTTAATAACGAAATTGATTATTTCGAAAACTGGTTTTCAGTAAGAAAAACTCAGATTTTCCTTATTTTTTTTTTTATTACGCTTTTGAATACTTTTGGGAATTTTTATTTTTAACCTTACCAACTAGATTCACTTTCTTATCAGAAAAGAGGTTGTTGAAGAAAAGCCCATAATTTTTGCTGCCAAAAAAATGGATTGCAGATAATAAAAACACACATCATTGTGAAATCAATACATTCATCGCTCCTCTCAGAACCTAAAATGTTGCTCTAAGTATTCTACCAAATCATAAAATTCAACCACATCAAAAGATTTTGGAAATAATACAATATGAGTATTCAATGGCCGATATCTTTCCAAATATTTGTATGGCAATCCTTTGCAAATTTTCAATAATTTATATCTGGTTTATAAACAACACATGAACACGTATCTTGAATTAAATGTTCAACTTTTTGAAATAATATAATATTATAATCCATAAATAGAATCATGTGACTATTATGTGAGAGATTACCGTCCGTAACACGTAAAGTCTTCTGCATGTAGCAAATTTGTTACATCCGTTGTATTCGTCGTAGGTTAGGTAAAATAAAATTATTAATTTAAACTGTTTTAAAATTGAGTATAAGAAAATATGTATAATATAATATAAATGATTAAACTCCCTATTCTTTATTATAATTGCAAAGCGACTGTTTTGTACGATAGAAGTGTCGTATTGAGAAAACTGACGATGAAAATTCGAAATCGGACGAATGTATGTTGAGTATAATCATTACAGACAATATCTCCTGGACAATGAAGAAAACGCATTAGAGCTGTGGCACCAGTCCATTTTATTTCCAAACCGAGTATAGGTAACTAGGTAATGTACATAATAATATACTCTATATTATAATGAAGTCGTTAATGTACTTGTTGTTAATTATTGGTAAAATGTTAATTTTAATAATTTTTAGATTATTTTTTCACAAAAAAATACATATATACTAATTTGGTTAATAGTGATATAATATACAACAACTATATAGCAGTCTCCTCCGTATCATCGAAGTCGTCAGCCGTTTACAAATCAGACAATGTTTACAAAATAATACTATCACAGTATATATTATGTATATATACTATACCTATATGTATATATTTATATGAATAAATGTAAAACAAATAATATAAACATTGACTGCATTATAAATGGCGGCCGGCTTCAACATATTTCAAAACTGTAGTATAGAGACGGCGCGGCGATCTAGTTGTTGTCTATCCATGATATATACCTGGTGGGAATTAGATAATTTTTACATTTTACTCGTTTCTGTGGTGATAAACAAAGCATTACTCAAAATCAGTTAAAAAATAATAATATCTGTACACAACCCATAAACATATTTATGTTAAAATGGTTATGTGGAATATGGAATGTGAGGGTCCAATGCGGTTGTTGAAAAAATGCAGGTACCCACCCCTGCAAACGATGACAATGAAGGTAAAAAATAATCTTAATTTTAAATATTAATCTTTAATTTGATGTAATAGATTCAAGGCACAAAATAGACTCGTCTTAGGAACTTTATTATTCACTTTTCAGATACAAAACTCATACCTACAAACTTTTGAAAGTATTAGGTATATAATTTATGGGGAAGTTGTGCTCACATTTTTGTCTTACTAATGCATAATTTAACAATTAATTGTATGTTCAGAAGAATCCATTATATTTAGTTATTTCTAACATTAGAGACTAGAGTGATTGACCTATATTATACAATTTAAAGTTAAGAATTTTATTCGGCTCACTAGCAGACAATTTATGATATTTTAATTTCAAGTGGCCTATGAGCATTTCATATTTAAAATGTAGGTATTAAATGAAAAGTATCAATGTAGTGAAGAAGGGAAATTATTATTGTTCTATATTATTAGTTATCAATAATGGCCTGCAATTTGAATATATACAAACAATTGAAATATAATTATTTTATTTTACGGATATTAATATTGTAAAATTATGCATAATATATTTTAATAATTATACATCTGTCATATTAAGACCTTGTGGGCATACATTTTGCAATATTTGCGCACTTCGGTTGATACAAGAAAATATGCATAATTGCCCATTGTGCAGGACATTTACCATGGGATATGATGGCATAGTAATATAGCATAAATATTAAACCATAGAAAAATATTTATTTTACATTTTTGTATTTTACTACCATGTTTAATAAATTAACTTTCTTTAAAGTTACGTTAGGTATTTTTTTCATATCCACCGTTATTTGTATTTATATTTTTTTCAATATTACGCATGCCAGTTGAAAAATAATTTAAAACCTTTACATTTTGTATTGTAAATGTTTAAATGCTATTACTAATTATTAGGTACATTATGTATACACATATTATTATTATTATTAAATCAGTTGCTTATCCATCAGATTTATTGGCAGGATAATTACTTTATACTATTTTGTTCATTATATATTTATTATAATTCACATTAAAATGTTATGAAATAGACAATTTAATATTATAATTATATTATAAATATTAAACATTATATTTTTTGTTGTAAATATTTAAATACTATACACTATTATTATTATTATACCTATGCAGTTGATATTATAATATACACCTATTGTTTTAAAACTATACTAATATATTAGTCATAACTAATATTAGTGATATGATTAATCTGGAAATATCTTATTGAATAAATTATTTAAATGGTCAAATACCTAAAGAGAAGTATTTATAACTTTTGTAATTACTTAAATTATCTTTAGGAATATCGTAGACCAGTGGCCTTGTGTCATAGTTTGATGCTTATTGTATCACAGAAACTGAATAGTAGAATAGTTGAAGATATTAAATTAATATTTAGATTTCACTACATATACACCACGATGTATAGTACCACGATAATAGTACATATTATATTATATTATATGATCAAAAGTGGTTGATGACTTTGGAAATAGTGGTTTTTGGGAATTAGAAAACATAGAAAATATTATATTTTATATCTAATAAGGATTAGTCTATCAATATTATATAATAACAATTTAAAAGCATCATTTAACATGAACTTATATTTTTGTTTCTCTAGGAATTCTTATACTTATCTTAACATTAGATAGGTACCTAAATTGACAAAATATATCATATCACTTTTTCTTCATCAAATCATTTCACACTAGTTCACAGTACCTTCGCCATTCATTTAGACGCCTCAGCTTTAATATGGTTATATGAATTCTAGAAGACATCTGTAGAACCAATTCTCCTAGATTAATTTTTTTTTTTAAATTTTTAAATTTTTTTTTCTATTTATATCAATGGATAATCAGGGTATGTATTTAAAAATTGTTATTAATAAATAACAAATTCTAAATAATATATTTCTATTTATTTATTTATTTATTTATTTAGGGAATTAAATATTCCAATTGAAACTTGCAATGATTGTGTTATATTTAAATTATATAGTAAATTCGGGCATAATTATACATAAGTAGTTAATAATTTTTTACACATATACATAATACATGAACTTAATAGGTATTAATAAACAAAACAATCATGTTAGATTATTCAAACAGAATTTAATGAGAACATATAACTATAGATGTAATACATATATATATATATATAAAAAAAAATTAAATTAAACAATTTAGATAGAATTTTGTTCTTAAGAAAGTTAAAATTATACTATCAAAAAAATTTCCATAAAACATTAAAGCATTTTTAACAAGTGTATCATACAATTAGAATAAATATTTTCTATAATCATATAATAAACTAATTGGTTTTGTATGTCTATAACTTATTTTAAATATATTTTCGCTAATAACTCTGGACATTCGACACAATTATTTAAATTACATTTATTTTTCAAAAGTAATAATATTCAGAAAACTTAAAAATTTTTCATAACAGGATAAATTAATTTTTAAACGGGATAAAAAGTATGGGATATAAGATGTGGTCACCTTGTGGGGCTCCTAATGCTATATTGATAGATTTTGAGATATAATTTTTTATATTTAACTGATTTGTTTAATATAAGGATAATAATGGATTAAACCATGACAGCAGAGGGTCGATTATATCTATGTTTTCAAGTTTCGCTTCAAGAAGGTGATGGTTTACTTTATCGAATGTTTTTTCAAAATTAGTACAGACTTAACAGTTTGTGATTTTGTATAATATGTAGGTATACTTTAACCTAGGTTATGTTTATTTTTAAACTACAGCTAATTGGAATGTTGTTCGTATGGAGCCAGGAGTTAATGAGCGATCCAACATATATACTGATAGCTTAAATTTTCAATATTACAGCCATAACGAAACTGCAAACAGAAGGTTAAATTTAATGACTTGCCATCGTCAGGGTGACTGAGGAAGTAGGGGCTGCAGACGCAGACACCAACGCGACGCAGCGACTCGAGTGGATCCCGGAACGACGACAGAACACAAGGACGGAGACAGAAGGAAAACTGGGAAACCAACAACGGTACAGAGCACCCTCCAGAACACCATAAGGAGAAGGAAGTGCAGTACGAGTCTCGAGGCCGGCTGGCTTTCAAGCCGGGCCAAGAACACAGGAACATGACTTTCCGACTGGCGGGCACCAAAGACGGGCCGGGAAGTCAAAAAAAGCAAACAGCGGGAATTAAGCCAACAATTTTATTTAAATTTACTTCCCTGGAATCTTTTAATAATTAAGTTAATAGATTTTTATGTTTTTAATCTATTTGTATTATTGTTATTATTATTATTATTATTGTTTATTATTTTATTATTAATATCAATTGTCTATATTGAACTATTATGTATAATGTATTGTACTTGGATCTGACAATCCGTTAGAATTTAAATAAATTAAAAAAAAAATAAATATAAATAATATTATAATATTACTATAATATATTATAATACTGGCATTTTGTGCAAGCATAAAGTGATGCACCGGCGTATTGTATAGGCAAAATAGGTACATTACTGCAGTGTTCAGTATGGCAATATTATCCACAATGATTACATTTTAGCTCGTCAAAATATCATTCCCCGATAGTGCGTGTTGGCTGACAAACTAAACAGAATCATACCCATACATTATTTCATTTTTTAAGTCTTAATGTTCAACTATGTAGAATTGTATGTTAGGAATTAAAACACATTTTAAGCGTGGAAAGCATAGGCTATAGTGTTCTAAAAAAAAAAATGCAAAATTTAAAACTATAAAAAGAGACCCCTCCAATCACCATTAACTAGATCCTAGACATATTATGCACGTCTATCTTGCCTTTACATTTATAAATCACATGACACATGACTTTATAACACATAAAAATTATAAATAATAGTAAAATAATGTGTGTTTATTTTTTTTACAAAATTCAGTTTTAATTTTTAACACGGTTAAAGTTAATTTAAGTTTGAAAATAACTTGAACAAGAAACAGCCCGGTATTAAATGTGGTCACGTGGAATGACGAATATAACTAGATACAGATATCATGAAATGTGCTTCGGAAAACTTACGATCGCCGGAAATAACTTACAATCACATAGTACCTATCAACGTTAAAAATCAATAATATATTATATTCTCATCCACGGATGGAAATTAAATTATTCTAAAAAAACAGATTTACAAATTGGCTATTATGAAGTTTCAATAATTTGTTAAACCAGATTTAAATTTTTAATTTCATCGTTTATATAATATACCTAATAAATGTCATTCTCAAGTGTAACGCAAGCGTCTGTAAATTAAAGAAAAAAATTAAAAAATAAAAAATAAAAAATATTGATAAGAACAATTTATTTCATTTGACAAGTCTTCCTGTTGAACCGTATATCACTGAAACACATTTTAAGCTTGGAAACCATCGTTTATATTGTTCCAAAAAAAGATACCAAAGTCATCAACAGCCGGGCCTAATTTATAAAGTATAACTAGACAAAAATACCCCTCCATTACCTAAGTCCTAGACTTATGCACATTCGTTACTTGAATTTATGTTTATAAATCACATAAGACATGACTGAAATTAATATGTATTATACATACTCATTGCGTAATAAATTTATTAGAAAAAATATTTTAATCACAGTGTTGTCATTAAAAAATCATTATTATATAATTTGATCTAATGAGTTTGGTAAATAAATGATGTTCATTTATTTAATAATAATAATAATAATGTTAAAATATTAAAGTTATTTATAATAATTTTTACTATAAATAATAGTTTTATTTACTATCAAACAAATATAATTTTCTAACGGATTGAAAAATAGTTTGTTATAGGTAACTATCATACCAACAAATATCAATTTCCTTCTTCAAGATGAACATTTTTCCCAACATTGCATTAAAAAATAATCATTATAAATTAAAACTGTTACAATTCACAGTATGTGGTTTATTCCATTTTCTTTGATATATTTCTTTAGAAGCATTTGTAGACAGTTCAAAAGACCATTGTTTTGTTATCAATTTTTCCGTGGTTTTTACTTTTAAAATGGATTTTTCAACGTCTTCATTAAATTTAAGTAATGGCGATTTCTTTAAGATCATATATTCCGCAATGTCACAGCATTGTTTTAATGATGTACCAATTTTTAAAACTAAAGATGGTGCTTCAAATTTGTCGGTTTTGTCATTATAGCCTGCAATAATTTTTGTACTCTTGATTATGTCATCAAAAAGTTCTGGTACTAAACAGTCTAGTAATGTTTGACATTTTTTCTTGGAATTTTTCATAGCCATTAAAAGTCTACCAAGTTCACGCATTTTATTAGAGACAACTGTTACAAGATGTTTTTCCTTATGGCATTTAAGGTATCTCGATCCAAATGCTCGAATCAATGGATCAGCCTTCACGACCATAGATATTTCATCTGGAGCCATTCTTGGAAAAACATCTTGAACCAACTTTGTATCGTCATCAGTAAAGGCTAATAGAAGTGATTGAGCATTAGCTTGGATATTTTGACGTACATTACCCAACTCTTCTTTTTTAAGGGTACATATTTTTATGTGACGACGTAAGTAATTTTTTTTGAATAACCCAAAACAAAATTTGCACGGCAGGTAATCAATGGCCTTAGGTTGATCAACAAATTGATTTGGTCTTCTGACCGGTTTTAACTTTGTTGTGCCACTTATATTGTTAAAAAAGTTTCCTTTTTTACGCAGTTGATCTATGTGTTGTTTTCTTTCTTGAGAACCTTTTTTATACGATAACAATTTTGCAACTTCTATTTCTTCGCTATGTTTTCTATTTAAATGTCGAACAAAGTTGGTAACTGCTTCTTCACAAAAAATGCAAACATCTTTTTTATCCCAAATGCGTTTATTTGATAGTGCAGTTTTTCTTGAAGTATCAATAACTGCTGAAAGATTATAGATTTTTTCTTTAGCTACATTTTGATGATTTTGAATGATGTTTGAAGTTGTTGGATGGTGGTTTTCAATTGTTGGTGATTTCGGAGTGTCATTTGAAGAAAATGATTCATTGACTTGTTTTTCGTAAGGATTATATGATGAGTCTGAATCATATTCTGATTGAATTGTACCATCTGAATCATACAACGGTTTGGGGTAACCATCCATATTTTTTCTTCTTAAACCAGGATATCTTTTTTTATTTTCATCTACAGGTGATAAACTTCTCTCTAAAAGAGAAAAAAAACAAATTGTAGAAATTATATTATATCATAGTACAATTGTTCAATTGTTAAAACCTAGGTGTAGTATTGATTATTATTTATTTAAGGACAGCAATAATTTTGTATACAATCCTAGCCTAAACATAGGAATGTCAAATATTAATGTTCAATATGCAAATATAGCCTAATATTAAGAATAAAATTTATCTAATACTTATATTTAAATAAATAAAATATTTCATTACAAAAAAATGATTCGACTATTAATGAGGTACCTACTTAGGCGATCAATTTGTTAAATGATTTTTTATGAATAAAGTAAATTGGGTTTGAATTTTTAAAGAAAATACCATTCAGAAATTCAAACATTGAATTTATAATAATTATAATCTTATTATATAATTATTATCTTCATAATATTTATACTTGTACAGTTTGAAAAAAGTTAATCAATGTTCATAGAACCGCATAATATTTTAAATAAAATTATCATATTGTAAAAACTAAAAATACTCATGAAACTTAATCAGCTATTTATTTCAATATTATAAATACCATTAGTGAATTTTTCAATGCTTGTGTCTTTTTTGTCATTCAATGGATAGTTTGCGTTATATTCAGTTACATCAGCAATAGTTTTGTTAGCTATCGAACAAATTTAATAGTTAATACAAATAATATATTTATTTAGCATGCAAATATAGTAATTACTATTTAACAGTATTTCATTAGAAGATTCAGGCACATTCTCCAAAACAAAATTGTCATAACCATCATCAGAATTAATTTTACTTAATTGGTAATCGATAAAATCATCATTTATTTTTTCTGTTTCCAAGCCAAATTGAGTATATTTGTTAACAGATGAACCAGTTTCAACATCTAAAAAAATATTATGATCACATATTATAATTGTATTTAATTTTAATTATTATAAAAAATATTTTTATATATTTTTTTTTCAATGTTATCTTATTTCTAAATTATAAATACCATCTGTGAATTCATCAATTTTTGTTTCACTTTTGTTATTCAATGGAAAATCTTCTGTGTATTCGTAAACATCAGCAACAGTTTTGTTAGCTATCGAACAAATTTAATAGTTAATACAAATGATATATTTATTTAGCATGAAAATATTATAATTACTATTTAACAGTATTTCATTAGAAGAGTCAGGCACATTCTCCAAAACATAATTGTCAAAACAATCGGCATTAATTTTATTTAATTGGCAATCGATAAAATCATCATTTATTTTTTCTGTTTCCAAGCCAAATTGAGTATATTTGTTAACAGATGGACCAGTTTCAACATCTAAAAAAATATTATGATCACATATTATAATTGTATTTAATTTTAATTATTATAAAAAATATTTTTATATATTTTTTTTTCAATGTTATCTTATTTCTAAATTATAAATACCATCTGTGAATTCATCAATTTTTGTTTCACTTTTGTTATTCAATGGAAAATCCTCTGTGTATTCGTAAACATCAGCAACAGTTTTGTTAGCTATCGAACAAATTTAATAGTTAATACAAATGATATATTTATTTAGCATGAAAATATAGTAATTACTATTTAAGAGTATTTCATTAGAAGAGTCAGGCACATTCTCCAAAACAAAATTGTCATAACCATCAGAATTAATTTTACTTAAATGGCAATCGATAAAATCATCATTAATTTTTTCTGTTTCCAAGCCAAATTGAGTATATTTGTTAACAGATGCACCAGTTTCAACATCTAAAAAAATATTATGATCACATATTATAATTGTATTTAATTTTAATTATCATAAAAAATATTTTTATATATTTTTTTTTCAATGTTATCTTATTTCTAAATTATAAATACCATCTGTGAATTCATCAATTTTTGTTTCACTTTTGTTATTCAATGGAAAATCCTCTGTGTATTCGTAA